GGGTGAGAATAAGGGTAGATATTTTCATCAAAAATGACATGACGAGATATGATGATTTTGTGAGTGAGAAGATCAAGGCATCGGTATCCACGTTGGTTAGACGGGTACCCTAAGAAGACACATCGGGCAGAACGGGGTGCGAGTTTATGAGGGGCGGTGGCGGATATATTAGGATAGCAGAGACAACCGAAGACTCGAAGGTGAGAGTAGGTGGGTTTGGAACCATAAAGGACTTCATAGGGAGTGCGATTTTGGAGTGTGGTGGTGGGTAAGAGGTTAAAAAGATGAGAGGCCATGTGTAGAGCCTCGACCCAGAAGGTTGGTGGGAGTTGGGCCTGAAAAAGAAGAGATCGCACAGTGTTGTTGATGGTGCGAATGGTCCGTTCAGCACGACCATTTTGTTGGCTAGTGTGTGGACACGAGAAGCGGAAGATTATACCCAAGGATTCAAAAATATTGCGAATGGGCGTGTTCCTATATTCAGTTCCATTATCACATTGAACAGCCTTAATAGTAGCATTAAACTGATTTTTCACAAAAGCAATAAATGTGTGAAGATGAGAACATGCATCAGATTTATGTTTAAGAGGGAACACCCACAAAAAATGAGAATAATCATCCAAGAGTAACATGTAATGCTTAAAACCAGTAACACTAGTAACAGGCGATTGCCATAAATCAGTGTGTAAAAGCTGAAAGGGAAAAGTAGAAATACGACTCGATGACTCAAAGGGAAGACGAACATGTTTCCCCAACTGACAAGCATGGCAAAGAGACTGTTGTAAATGTTTAAAAGACAGGGAGGAAAGACTGGGGATTCCACGAAGGACGGCAAGGCTAGGGTGGCCAAGACGACGATGCCAGAGCTCCGAGCTACCGGTGACAATGTTGACTTGGGCCTGGGCTTGGGCGGTGGGCTGGCTCATAGGGTAGAGTGGGCCGGCATTACTGGACCGATGAATCACGGTTCCCGTCAGCATATCCTTCACAGAAAAACCAGTGGGGTCAAATTCAATAGAGCAATTATTGTCACGGGTAAACTGGCGAACAGAAATAAGGTTGTGGATAATATGGGGGGAGACAAGAAT